CTTAAATTGCTGTGTCCTAGGTGGAAACATCATAAAATATTTTTATACTTTGCTCCCAGATATTATCTAACTTGAGCTAATATTAATTACTACATATTCTGATTATTAATAATTTTGCTGATTTATTTAAATAACGGGCATTTATGCAAATATTTAAATAATACATTGGAATACAGAGATACTAAAATGCATTTAAAATACATTATATAAATTAATACTATATGTGTATATAATTATGTCAATGTGGGGGTATAAAATATATATACACAATTTTTTTTTTTGTTAGCAACTAAGCATATAAGCTGTTTGTACCATCCAGGGTCTCCCTATGATATAGGAGATTTGCTAAATCTTGAGTGAATGAACCATTTCAGTTCCTAACAAAATATGTGCCAAAATAGCGCTGATAATGATTCTAAAATATAAACAACTTTGTGGCTTAGAATCGTATAGTCATATGTAAAATCACATAATAATCAGTGAATATTTTAGCAAGTTCTATTTTTCTAATTATGATAAACTGTGTTTATCAATACTGAGAAAACATGTTTCGGTTGTAGCAAATGAGAGGACCCATTACATTTATTTTAGCATATTTCAAAACTTTCTTACTTCATGTTTCATGTAATCTCATTATATAACTCTGTAGAGACACCCTGTATCTCTAACTGATTCACAAGATATTACACTGGATCCTTGTCAAATGGACATAAAGCTCAACATTTCCATCTTCGTAGAATTTTACCTTGCTATTCCTCATCCTCCCAACCTCATAGCTAAATGAGGGCTGGTGGGATATAAAGAACTAGTGCCCTTCAGATTTTTAGGAATAAATGAAATATGGTGCTGTGAAGTTTAAGTAATTGTTTTATTATACTTAAATTCTATCTTGCTAATCCATTTGCTTCTCTCAAAATCACAGCAGAGCTCAAGGAGTGTCGGTAGGGTAAATAGTATACACAGTGAGTTACTTTTCAGAACTCAGAAAACAGGCAGAGGCAGCCTGATGTATTTGCTGAGGAGCGGATGACATTCTTGAATGTTGTCCCACAAACAAGTCCTGGCACACTCAGAATGGGTTTGTGAGCAGAAGATGAGAGGTGCTGAATGGGGTTAGTCTGAGGGGTAACCTCAGGGGCAATCAGGCTTTCTTAAAAAAAAAAAATCTTTCTGAAGATGTAAAATTGTCTATTGACTTTGAAGAAGAAACAATATTCTGAAACATTTGTGGCATTATATTGAAACTTGTTTTTCTGTACCATGATGAATCAATTGTTCATTTAGATATCTTTGAAATGTAAACACATATTAAAGTATTTGCTAATTAAAAACTATATCAGAGCCATTGAAGACAATGCTCTGCTTGTAGGGATGGACGGAAAGACAAAATGGAGTAAGACTACTAAAAAAGTGTATTCCCAACCTCAGGGGCAGATACTGTGGAAAAGGTTATTGTTACCTAAGAAAGTTCTGGTTGTGACAAATGATTAAGGCTCAACTACTAACCAAAAGATTTGCTGTTAAAAACCACCCAGAAACACCTCGGAAGCCAGACCTAGAGATCTGCTTCTGAAAGCAGAAAACTCCACATAGCAGTTCTACTATGATGACACACAAAAACAAACAAACAAAAAACACAGAAGACAATGTTTTGAATAGTGGAATGCTTTAATACAGTATTTTCAACCTGTAGATTCAGAATGATGTAGACCCTAAATTTATATGTGTATCATGCGTTTAAAAAATAAATTGAATAGGATTGACTCTGTACAAATTGCTTTAAATTAAAGCTGCATTGCATTTTCAAGATTATTTAGAAACATCACTGATTTCAGGATCATATCCACAATCCTGCCCCCGCCCCCCACTTCCTAAAATATTTTCTCACTTATCAGACACTAAATACACAACTACTATTACACAAATGTTGGACTTTAGTGGTACTGTGGGTTAGGCATTATCATTTCAAATCTACCAGCTGCTCCTGGGGAGAAAAATGAGTGCGTATACATCTGTAAAGATTTAAAATTTGAAAACTTTGTAATACGTGTGAGTGCACTTGATGATAGTGGGTTTTGATATTATATGATTAGAGAACTCCCAGTGGCACAATGAGTAAAGCCCGGGGATGCTAACTGAAAAGTCAGTGATATGAACCTCCCTGACACTTAAAGAGAAAAAGATTGTTTCTGTAAATCAAACGCTTGAGAAAATTGTGGTGCTCAAAAGAAGTCCTCAGACTTTATCTGAAGTTAGATATGGTTTATATCTTTCTAATTGTTTTTCCTCAGATAACTTCCATCTTCTTTACCTAATCTAAGGATTCCTGGTGGCACTGTTTATTAGATATTAGGCTGCTAACTACAGGGTGGGCAGTTCAATTCTACCAGTTGCATCAAAGAGGAAAGATGAGGCTGCCTGTTTCTTTAAAGATAGAACGTCTGGGAAACCCCATCTACAGTCACTATGTGTTGAAATCAACTTGATACCAGTGGGGTGGGTTGCTTGTTTTTGTGGCATAGTGGTTACACATTGGGCTGTAAACTGCACTATCAGCATGGAAAAAATGGGGTACTCTACTGGAGAAAGATAAGAGAAAGGCAGGACATTTTTACTCCTGTAAAGAGTTACAGTTTCGTTACACCGAGGCAACACACTAAGGGAATGCAACAGAATAGCCAGGGAACGGAGTGGCGAGGTCCCCAAGGAATGCTGAAGGTGGACTTTGGGGCCAAGACTTGGTGCACCAACAGACTGGACTGGAAAATACTCCTAAAGGCAAACAATCAGTCCTTGAACTAACAACAAGCTTTTCTTTCTTGTGTTTTATTTATTTATTTTTTTTTGTCATTGGTTTGTTGTTGTTTTGTTGTATATTGTTGCTTGGTTTTGCTCTGTCTTGTTTTTGTGCATGTTATTATCTTCACAGGCCTGTCTAAATAAAATAGGCTGGATGAACAATCTGGAGCAGAAAACAATGGGACCGACAGTTCCAGGGGGACAAGGGAGAGGGGGAGTTGAGGGGAAAGGTAGTGGTGTTAACAAACCCAGGGACAAGGGAACAAGTGATCCGGATCGGTGGTGAGAAGGGTGTGGGAAGCCTGGTAAGGTATGATCAAGGGTAATGTAACCCAGGTGGCAACTGAGCATGATGGTGGGACAGGAGGAAAGTCAAAGGAAATAGAGGAAAGAGCTGGGAGGCAAAGGGCATTTATAGAGGTCTAGATAAAGGCACATACATATGCAAATATATTTATATATGAGGATGGGGAAATCTATGTGCATGTATTTATAGGTTTGGTATTAAAGTAGCAGATAGACGTTGGGCCTCCACTCAAGTACTCCCTCAATGCAAGAATATGTTGTTCTATTAAATTGGCATTCTAAGATGCTCACCTTCCCGACACAACCACTGAAGACAAAGCTGGTGAATAAGAAAATGTGGTGAAGAAAGTTGATGGTGCCCGGCTATTAAAAGATATAGCATCTGGGGTCTTAAAGGCTTGAAGGTAAACAAGCAGCCATCTAGCTCAGAAGCAACAAAGTCCACATGGAAGAAGC